GTGAGTCGCGGGAGAGAAAAAATGGCGGGAGGTGAGGACGGAGGGAGCGAGTGAGAGAGTGAGTGAGCGAACCACCACGTATATATTTGGACTAAGGATCAGATCTTCAATCAGCCCATAAACGTCCAATCAACAGCTCAATAAATCCCCCACCAACCTATCAACCCACGTTGATAGACGCACCCATCAGTCGATATTCCCGCCCGGTTCACTTGACTGAGTGTCCCTCGATTTTCATCAGTCATCGCTACCCCCCCATCCCTCTAGCCCTCTCTAGGAATTAGGATCGCAGACCAAATGCACACAATTGCAAGTTCGAAGATCAATCCGTCAATCGAGGGGACAGGAAGAAGGAGAGAGGGAGCGATGGGGAGCGATGGGAAATGTAGGGTGGGCGCGCAGAACACGAACGATGGCCGAGAGAGAGAAAAAGAGAGAGAGAGAGAGAGAGAGAGGGAGAGAGAGGGTGAGAGAGGGAGAGAGGGAGAGAGACAGAGAAGAAGCAGGATGCCAGGGCTGCACACAGGGACAAACAGAGACAGGAGAAGCAAGCGAGAGCCCGCGCGCGCGCGCGCGCGAGGAAAAGAGAGAGGCAGAGCAAAAAGAATCGTAAGGCAGGTAGAAGACATGACCTACAGAAACAGAAACACGAGAAACGAGCGTGTGTGCCCGCGCGCGCGTAAGAGAGTCAGTCAGTCAGTCAGACAGACAGACAGACAGACAGAGACAGAGAAAGAGAAAGAGAGAGGAACAGAGACAGAGACAGAGACAGAGAGAGTCCAGGTTAGTGATACGAGATAGGCAGAGGACGAGGGGAAACCGACAAGGGGAGAGAAAACAACCAGAAAGCCCCCGTGGCAGCGGGGGGAAGCGCGGAGTAGCGGGGCCGCATGCTCCCACTTTCTCTTTTTCTGTAACCCACCGGCGCGCGGGGCGAAACGGGTGGCGGCGCGCGGGGCGAAAGAAATAAAGAGAGCACGCGGCGTCACTATGGCGAGGCGACCCCGAAAAGAGGGAAGGAGTGGACAAGAGGGGAACGGAGCGCAGGCGCGTGTGCTCGCGTCCGCGGGGGAGAGAGAGAGAGAGAGAGAGAGAGAGAGAGAGAGAGAGAGAGAGAGAGAGAGAGAGAGAGAGAGAGAAAAGAGACC